ATGAAAGAGGGAGGGTAAGAGAGGAGGGATTAAAGCCAAAGAGCAGCCGAGAAGGAGGGAAGAAGGGGCTCCAGGAAGGCAGGGACATTTCCTGCTGTCTCCCCAGGGGGTAGCACCAACCACATTTGGTACACAGCAGATGCAAGTAAATCGTCAGCGTGGGGAATCGGTATTTACAGAGGTGCTGCCAGGCACCGAAGTTTGCACACTTCTTATCCAAGTTAATCCTCTCCTATGAAGTCAGTGTTTTGGAAATAACCAATTTATAGATACGGTTATTGCCGCAAAGTGACTTGAAGATGGCCTAGTAAAAGAGGAAAATGAAAAAGAAAAATTATGTTCATCATCATCTAGTTTTATCTCGTTTAAAACAAAATGAAGAGTGAGAGGACTGTAAGTTTACATGAGAGAAGGGTCATGTATATCTTCCAGAAAGCTACTCTTTTTAGTGACTGTCTTAAGTAGCATGTTGAAGCTTTTCTTTGCTGATATCCTTTCAGTGTGATTTGTATTCTGGGAAATCACAAAACAACAGTGGGAAAAAGCAAGTAATCAATGAGAAGTAGTTTGGTAATTTTAAAATGAAAACAGAAAGCAACAGCAGCACCTACCACTATCGGCCATCATTAGCAAGGTGTCAGTCACTGAGTACTTTTCAACTAAATTGAGAAAAAAACCAATTACCTGTTATATAATTTAAAATGTTTCAGCTGACCTCCAGAGGATTAGAGAGGGGATCTGCTCCTTCAGTGTACCTCAAACCCATACACAAATGAGACTCTTCCTGCACCACGCATTTCTAGTCAAAGACAACATTTTGCTTTTTAAGAAGAGTAGCATGCACAATATAACTGCAAATGAATGTCACATAACACTCACACACACACAGACAAAAGAAATAGAGTCAGACAGTGTTAAGCTCCAGTGAAGAATCTTGGGAATTCCCAGCTGCATTGTGCAAATCACCTCCCAATGTGTTTGATTCCATTGCGTGTGATTCCCGAAAGACTGAGAAAGCTGTCCTCTCCGACACCTGCCCCCTTTACCATTTTAACCTCTTCCATTTCCAGTACTTGCACTCCTGCCACATTGCTCACTCCTTGACCTTGTGTTTCAACACATTCACAGAGGAAAAGTGAAGAGGGCTGGACAGAGAGGTGAAGGAGGGAGTGAGGTGTGTGTGCACAGGAATGACAGAACTTGGAAGCCGTCCCCGAGATTTTTAAACAATAAATAAACTCTGGGACAGAGATGATTGTTTTCCTAATAGGCAGACCTTTGAGAGAACCAGAAATAAATACAAGACTGGTACAGTGGCATCTATTTGCTCACTTAGTCAACACAAACTTACTGAGTCCCTACCATGGTGAGGCACTGAGCTGCATGGTGGGTTTTTGGGAAAATGAAAGACCTGAGAGTTGCCTCATAGGTATGATAGGAAATGACAATCCATCATATGGTAAACTTTTATTTTAAAGCCTAAACCCCTTAGCTAAGTGAATTCAGGGATTTAACAAATATTTATTCTGTTGTATTCATTATTCTCCTCTTGAAATATTCTCGGCTAAGCTTTACGGCGCCATGCTCCCCTGAAATTATGTTCCTTGCACCTTAGACTTCTTTGCAGGATTTCTATCCGCAGCCTGTCGTTTATGTGTTGGTGTGCCCTGGAGTCTTCATCAGTCTGTTCTGCGGATTTTCCCGGGAGCTCTCATTGCTCCTATGACGTGTGGTATCACGTATATGATGTGAAAACCAGATCTAATGACACCAAATTCAGCACATCCAGTTCAAACTCTTCTCAGCTCATCTATGAACCCCTTCTCAACACTGACACCTGATGTTTCAAGGCACCCGAACTCAATATATAAATTGAACTAATCAACTTCTCCTTATTTTCCTGAATAACAGCCATCCTTGAAGTTTCCCAATCAAGAAACCTAGAAGTCATTCTTAGCTCCTTCCTTTTTCCTTCCTAACAACCAATCTCAATGTTCTATAGATTTTTATAGCCTAAAACACCTTAAGAAGTCACCCACTCGTCTTCATGCTCTTTGCTATTACTCAGTCCAGGTCACTACCAGTCCATGAGAACCTTCTCACAAATATCTGCTTAATCGGTCCTCCTGATTTCAATCTCACCTGCCCCCACTGATTTTACAGCCAGTCATACATTAAAAATGAAAATGTGATCACATTTTACCCTCGTTTCAAACCCTTCACTCTTCCCCCACATACTAAAGGTAAAAGCCTGACTCCTTTAGGGGCCCTTCAGACCTCTGCTTATTTTCCAAACTCCTATCTTGCCTCTGGTCCCTCAGTTACTACATTCCACCACCCCAAACTTTTTTCAGGTCCTTAAACATGATACTGATGCCCTCTTTCACCTAAAGTCTTACCATAGCCATCACATTGCCGAAAGCTTTTATCTTCGCTCCAAACTTGTCAATACTAACTGCTGGTTATCATTTATATATTGGCTTTCTTTGGGAAGCCTTCTTGGATTGCCCCTCTACCCAAGCTGACCCTTCTCACCTTTAACTCCCTACACTTACACCCAACCTACCATTATCTCCACCAAACAATGACAGAGCTTCTCATATGTTCCCACGGTGACTTATAATAACCCTCTAGTAGCATTTAAAAAATATTTTATTATAAACTCCTAGTTAACGTTCTTTCCCACTAATTCTGGTGTAAAAGACAAGAAGCTTTCCAGTGTGAGCATCTTGTCTTGGCATCTGTAGGACCTAGTACAGCGCCTTGCACAGAACTGGTGCTCAATAAATATTTGTTCAATGAGTATATAGAGCACTGTTTAGCTACAGGGAACTGAAAGGGGTTTAGAGATAAACACTTACCCTTAAGGAGGATAACATTCAGTGCAGAATGTCTGTTACACATAATTATATGACGATAATGAGTAAATAAAATTGACTCCAATTTGGATACATGGGGATTTGCGAGCACTGTAAATTGGAATTAAATATTTAGCTCTCCCTTATGGGATAATCTAATCCACACTAAACACTTCTGGAAGATGGTTTTATGATTTTATATTACAGATGAGAAAATAGGCACAAAGTTAATTGAGTTACTCAAAGTTACCCACTGAATCAGAAGCAGAGACAAGACTCAAAACTCAAAGTTGTCAATCTCCAGTCCTTAGGGCTATCATTTTTTAAAACATTGCTATGTCTTTTTTCTCCCCACAGTTCTATTGTGTGACTGCAGAATCACAACCCACAGATTTTAATAGATAGTATTCTCAACCTATCACCTATGGTATTGATATTTGGATGTGGAAAGTCAGGAATGGTGGCACCTTGTGATAGGTTTTCCTCTCATCTGTAGCATGAAAGGTTTCCCGTGATGTCTCTGTGCTCTTGTGAGTGCGGAGAGCGTCAGTTCCTTCTTCAATCTTAACAGTGCATCAGTCGTAGGCACTAGCTGCCTCTACCAAGTGCCAACATCGAACTTTTCTGCCATTGGACATCATATGGGATGATGCCCTACATTTAAAATGCCCATAGTTAGTTGGCTGGCACATTCTATTGCACTCGGTGGACATTTTGGTAGAAAATGCTGCCAATACTTCATAAATATTTGAGAAGCATCAAAGGCTATTAAATTTAACAGGATTACTGGTTCCAACATTCATATTGTGACAGAAATAAACACAGAAAGGTTTGTGCTGCCGTTTTAAAAGGCCAGCTAGGTACTAGGTACTCAGTGAGTATGTTGACATGTGATGTTCTGGGGACAATGGCAAATGTGATGCACAACCAAAATGCCTCAGAAAGCCTTCATTACCTTCCCAATATACATATTCAGTGTACATTAAAGCTTTGCTTTTTTGTAACAACAGCTGTGCTGATAACAGTTTCTCTGAGATATACAGAGTGAGTATGCACTTGAGATTTTTCTAGCCCCAGACTACATCAAACAAGTCATTTTATACCTGAATATAGCACAAGATGTTAAAGAATTTCATCTGTACAAAACTGTGCCTAACACAAGCCACTTTTGTTAGATATGTAGATCTTCTTGATTATTTTCAGATCAATTACACAATTTTCTGTTTACAGCTACAGCATCGCATAGAAGAATCCCCAATTATAGAAGATTTCCCTTGCTCTTTGGGCTTTGCCTAACCCATCCTTCATTTGCCAGAGGAAATGACTTTACCCCTAAAGCATTCAAGCCACTTATTACATCACTCCCCAGTCCTGTCTCATATCTCTGAGCCCAAGAAGAACTGTAAATGTCCAAAGTATTTTCTGTTCTTAACCCACAATGTTGACGTGAAATGAAATGCTGTTGTCATGTGAGTGTAACGGATTTTGTTTCCCCTAATAAAGACAGACACTTGAGTTACCCACTTGTAAGTCAGCCCAAGGAAAAAGAAAGGGAACTTCTGTCAGATGCCAAGTTAATATCAATTGCTCGCTCCTTGGAAATGTCAATTAAAATTCTAGTGTAACTTTTCAAACTCAATTTCCCAATCCAAGAAATGTGGATAAATGCATAGCGAACTGAGCAGCATGCAGGGTAGGTCTAAGGTTCATATATGTGTTAATACTCTGGGTTGGTCACTGGTAGATGACATTCATGGAGCCAGAACACTTTTGATTTTCACTAGAGTATGTAGATGCCATGAATCCATCCTCATTCATCAGCTCTGTTTTGGGGGAAATGACATCACAAAGATGTTGCTTTCATTTCCTAATGTTGCAGCTCCTATGAAATTACACCAGGGAATAAAGGTTCCTTTCACGAGCAGCATGAAGGCTGAGTTGGCTTCTTGCTTTTTGGAGATTATAAATGCTCTTAAACACTTCTACAGGAAGCAAAGTCCAACGTGGGCTTTAAAGTTCTGATATATATTTTTACTCTGTTTGCCACAGTGGTCTGAATGGGACAATATTAAATGGTTTTAATGGGGCAAAAAAAATGTTTTTATCCCTAGGATACCTGACCTACAGGAGAATTTAGTTTACCTGCAGAGACTCCATTTCTTCATCTTTTCTGTGGCTCTCCTCCAGCAGATCTATAATAAGAAAGTAAAACACCCATCAAAATATGATATAAAAATTGGTTGCATCTTATTATCAAACCCAATTCAGCCAGTGGCTTGTATAAACTATTGCCAGGAAATAGAATTTGTTGTTAAGTGTGAGAAGCCATGTGAACAAAACGCCTCTCAACCCAATGGATGAGATGTGGCAGAGCTCTGGGCCCGGGCAGACCTATGCCAGCTGGGAGACCCTGGGAGGTCCTAGCTCTGGTGGAGATACCCGACAAGGAGACCAACTCAATTACAAATATGAAATCACACCAGCATTTCAGAAATTGGGTCCAGTGCTTGTATAACTCAAAAGTAACACAAAGTTTTCCTTAAAAAAAGGTTTTCTTTTGAAAGAAAAATTAGAAACAAACCATTTGCTCTTAAATTCCCAAGCCAAGTTCCACCTCCAGAGTCAGTTTTTATAACCATATTAAAATACCCTGGAATAATGGGTGTTATTAATGGAAGTAGAACACCATCTTAACTGTAAAGTCACATTAATTATCATTTCCCACTGAAAGGGTGGGAAGCATTGAAGCTGTATCCGACCAAGAGTCTGGCACCATCTCAGAGAACTCAGTGGCTGGAAGGGGAGGTAGTCAACTGAAGAGAGTTCTGCCTAAATGCCTGAGCAAAGCCATGCTGTCTTAGTGCCCTACATTAATTTACAAACCTGTTGTAAAATTATATATGCATATATTTGGCAAGTAGACTTTTCTGCCTGCAGCTATACCACCCGGTGCTATGATCTTATTAGATCTCACAAACCTAAAGAGGGCTGGGCTGAGTCAGAACTTGGATGACAACTGGCAATAAACACCTACCGCAGTGCACATTAATATTAGCATTTGCCTTACTCTGTGATTGATACAGCTTACAAGGGGCTGTGCTGCATAAAAGGAAAATATAACTTACAGAAAGTATATATATACACCCCAGAAAGGCAAATGCAAATGTGTTTAGCAAGGATTACACTAGATGCAGCAGGAAGCAATAATATAGGGGAAAGCCAAGTCATGCTGGTATCACTCACAGCTGGGCGGGCAATACACTGAAACTTCAGGAGACCTAAAGGGTGATATAATTGATGGTGATGGCACCTTGAGACCGGGATGGCAAGCAAGTCTCTCAAGACAAAATGCACTGGGATTAAGGATAAGAGGGAGGGAGTTCTGCTCTGTACCTCAGAGGGGAGCTGAACTCTGCTCCCACACCTCTCATAATCAGTTATAATAAAGTTAAAGGAGTATGGGAATGCATTAGATTAAATTCGTAAAGGTTTTTTTTGGTGGGCATATAAAGTTCTTTAGCTGTACGGTGCAGAAACCAAAGTGAATGTGGTAGATTAAACGCCTTCAATCATTCTTCTTCTTGTGTCCTTACTCATTCGCACTGTGAAAAAAGCTACTTCTGATTGTAGCTACTTCCATCAAGGGGCCACAAGCACTACTTTCCACAGCTTGTATCTGGGCTGCTGCCCCACTTTATTTCGTAAAGAGAATATAGCAAAAGCAACTTTGTGTCAATCTGCATTGAGGGTTCAAGAGGTCACACATTTTCACTTTTCCAGTTCAAACTCTGTCACTACCACCTGAATGAATCCAGCCCAGCTTGCAGAGATGACAAGAGACACGTGGTCTGGGACTCTTCCCACCCCAGACACCCTGCAGGTTGCCCCCACTGGCAGCCAGCACATGCCCAGAAGCAGAGCTGCCCAGCTAAACTGAAGATGACCACAGATGACACAGGTGGGAATCCCGCCGAGCCCAGTGCCAACTCCAACTCACAGAATCAAGACCTAAATACGTGGAATTTGGAGATAGTTTGGTGCCTAGTGCTTGCTAACTGACAGCAACCAGTTGCAAACTGAACAAAAAGCCTTTGGAATCCATTAGAAAGCTATAGGAGTAACTAATAGAGATGTAGGAAAAAAGGGTCCAGGCCCTGGAGAGAATGACAACTGGGTCTGGGTGGGTAGTGATGCAGAGGGCGTGAACTAATGGGCACTTTATCCTGGGTGCCTCTAATCCTTGCGTCACTCCACTCAAGGTGAAATTCCAGAAAGAGAAGAGCTAATGAGCCCAGCTTAGGTCTCATGCCTACTGCTTGGCTAGGGGAAAGCATGGAGTGCTCTCACTGACAATCCCCAAAGGACCGGATAAAGGACAGAGACAGTTGCCAAATGCAAAATCAGAGCGCTGTAAACAGAAGAAGGCAGAGTGGACAGGCCAAAGCAATAGATGCCATCTCCAACTGATTTCAGTAAATTATGTCTTCAATGCACCTCTCCTCAATGTTTGTAAGATCACTATTCTGTTCCTACATGATGTAGCTATTTTGCTACCCTATTTAAGGATATTAGGTGGTTCTCAGAGCTGGGGTCCTTGTCATGAACTACACTGTTTATTTTTTTTAAGATTTTATTTACTTATTTTTCTTTTTTTTTCTTTTTTTATTGATTATGCTGTTACAGTTGTTCTATTCCCCCTTTCATTCCCCTCCACCCTACCCCCCATCCCCACCATTACCCCCCTCTTTAGTTTATGACCATGTGTCTCAAGTCCTTTAGATTCTATATTTCTCATGCTATTCTTGCCCCCCCCTTCTATTTTCTATCTACTGTCTATGCTACTTATTTTCTGTACCTTCTCCCCCCTTCTCCTCCTCCCACTCCCCTGTTGCTAACCCTCCTTGAGATCTTCACCTTATCTGTCCTTCCATTCTAAATGAAAGTTTTGCTGGATAGAGCAATCTTGGTTATAGGTCTTTGGATTTCATGACTTGGAATACCTCTTTCCAGCCCCTTCTTGCCTGTAAGGTCTCTTTTGAGAAATCGGCTGACAGTCTGATGGGGACTCCTTTGTAGGTGACTGTCCCCTTAGCTCTTGCTGCTTCTAGGATTCTCTCCATTTTAATTTTGGCTAATGTAATTATGATGTGCCTTGGTGTGTTTCTTCTTGGGTCCAACTTCTTTGGTACTCTCTGAGCTTCCTGGATTTCCTGGAAGTCTATTTCCTTTTTAATGGTACAATGGAACTGGAGTGATGGATGGTGGGGTCCATCGGCCAATACAGGAAACTGATCATGTTCCTCCAGAGTCAACGTGGTGTGGCCAAACATCGCACACCTTAGCTAAAACTTACTGGACAAATGATGAATACTGGATTTCTTATATAGCCCAACTCAACTCACACAGCTGATAAAAATATAGATGTGAAGTTCAGTTTCCCTGCAGAACTTCATAGTACAATTACTGCAGTCAGAAACTCGGTTCTCAGTTTTTTTCCAAGTACGTAAAGGTCATGTTGATCTTGCAACAAAGCTGACACTGGTAACAATGCTTGATTTGGGGTGACTGGACAAAAACAGCCACAGAAGAATTCTTACGATTGGTGTTTAAAATATAGAACCCTCGTCCTGGTCAGCTCCACCAGCTGTCATCCCAGCTTATGTTAAGAGTAGGCGTGGACATCTTGTGCTTCTGTGTCTGTCTATGCCACATCCCTTCCCAGCGAGAACTTCCTGTCCCTTTCCTGCATGAGATTCCTGTGAAACATTCAATCAAGGGGCCCAATGAACCTCTTCTGCCACAAAAGTGGGTCATGACCCAGGTTGGCCAGTCAGAACACCTTACCTCTTACAGCATATAAACTAAGAAACGCCAGCAGAATTACTTTGGAAACTAAGAGAGAATCCCTCTCCTCCTGAACCTACAAGTTTATAGCAGCCTGTACTTTCCATGATGTAAAAGAAACCTGTACAATGGCGAAGCTGACAAAGAAGAAAGCAGAGCCAAGAGACAGAGAGAATTGGCTGAGGACAAGATCACCCCTGCCTGAAGCACACCTAACTCCTGGACTTGTAACACTTTATTTTCTTTTACTTAAATTAGCTTTACTGTGGTTGCTGTCATTCTTTGAAGTTTCTGGGGATGTGGTATTATTGAAACTTTTTCTCTACTTAGAGACTTGGAGAACTCAGAGTGGGCAAGAACTTTCTATTCTATAGTGAAACGTTTCATTCTACCATAAACAGAGAGAGACGGGAGGCTCAAAGACAGCAAAGGGTTTGCCTGAGGTTGCCTGGATAGTGCTACAGCCACAGCCAGAGCTCAGCTCCTCCACTTGCTACAGCCACGGCCAGAGCTCAGCTCCTCCACTTCCTGCTCCGCTACTGTGTCATGCTCTCATTTGTACCACTCAGGACTTAATTGTACCCCTTTCTGTACTGTCATTCTAAAAAATGCGCACATTTGTGCTTCTCTCACTTCCTGTAGGAGTTCTCTGATGTCATCTTCCTTTCTTAACTACTAGTTCTCTAGCACTGCTACTTTGCTTGCATCCCCCAAATTTCCTCTCCTGTCTCTATCACTGCTCTGTGCAATTGCTCACTTGTTAGGTGCATGGTTCAAGTACATGCATTTGGAATGATAAACAGAGTTATTAACCTGTGCTGATGAAATATGGCTATTGGGCACTGCTGAGAAGTGAAGGCTCTACTGCAAACGGACACAGGATGAGAAAATATGGATGTAACCTCTAGGAAGCTGAAGTGACATAATGCTTTGACAACAACTGAATGTGCACCTCATTGTGACAAGCATTCTTGCTGTTTGTCCTTGACCAACTTTAGAACAAATGATCAGCATGGAAAAACGAAAGGGCCACTCTGCTCCCTTGCTCACCACTGGCATGTCCATGTTTTAATTTATTATTTTCTGGTTTGCCGTTCAATACAAGCAGCAATTCAACTGCCATGCAAATTGCTGTGTTGAAATGTGCTTCCATCAACACCAGTTAATGAAAGATTTTTTTTTGGTGAAAAGGGCAGCCATCCTGTGTCCTTTCCTTGGACTGGCTCCAAGTCTTTAAAGAGCTGATACTAATTCATTATGATATATAGTCATTAAGAAGGAGGGGGAAATTGCATTAAAAGGACACCATGAATGAGAATTGGAGAATAGTTTGTTTTTCTTCCACTTT